TACATTTCTCAAAACACTGTAAATACCACGCGAATTAAAGATAGAAAAAAATCAAGAAGTCAAAAAATCAATGTTGCCCCGAGTCAAACATATTTCTATCTAGTCCGCCGCCGCTATAGTTAGTCAGTTAGTCAAGCTTTGAAGCTATGAGGGAGGGTTCAACTGGTATCAAGTTCTGAAGAAAGACATTCTATGGAGCTTACTAACTCGGGCAAACGGTTTGCTTGCACTCTGTCAAGTCAGCGGCCATCCATCCAATCTCCGATATAAGTGTTTTGGAAAGCCTGGCTAACTAGAGAATCGAACGTCTGGGACGTGCCAAGCACCCTGTGCCCCTGCCCAACGGATGCGCAGATTGCAGCTTCCAATGGGTGGCGGCCACAGCTTCTTCAGAGGATGGGACATGTGAGAACCGGTGAGAACCACGTTTGCACCTCAAAAACCATCGGAAAAGACTGGTCAAACGGATTCAAGTCAAGTCTGTTCTAGCGATGGCAGATGCTAGGCTTCTAGGTCCAGTGATGGTCGGGCATCCTGGTCTATGAGACCTTGGATTAGAAGAAGAGCAACCAAAAAGAAACTGACTGATGCGACTCGCAAGGAATGAGTGTGGCTGGATCCAGTTGGGAACCTCTCTATTGGGGGCTCATCCCCTTATTTCGCCCGCGTGGCACCAGTCTGCGGGCCTGAAGTTGGCTCAAGTCGGTCGTCCCGTCACCTGCTGCCCATGGTGAAGCGTGGAGGTCGAGGGCCCTGCAACGCCCTCCTGGGACTTCTTTTGGCGAGTTCATGCCACTTCCTGGCACTTCTGGAGCAGGGAAGGGCCATGACTGGAGCCTACTCTGGTAGGATTGGGACGATGAAGTTTGAGGCATGCAAAGAGGTACAGGGAAGCTTTGTTCCCTAGACGTTATGATCACTTCTTTGACTGTGGGAAGCATGGAAAGCTTCCGGTTTCAGCGCGGGTTGTATGTATAATTGTATAATTATAGTTATATGTCATATGAGTCATGAATAAATACACTGTGTGTCTAACAGGTCTCGCTTGTTTCGAACCTTTTTGCTACATTGGGATGTTGAAGGACTTCTTGGTACGTCAAAGTTTTTCATAGGTTGGATATGGTTAGATTGACACCTCAGCGTGAGCACAGTCTCGAGAGGATGTATTTCCACAAGCCAGTTGGCTACTCCCCTGCAACCTCGGCAGTCAAATCACCTGTGCAACTGCCCAGTGATGAAGCCTTAGCAGAATCCTTGCGCAAGCGTCAAGAGGCCGGGATAGGTCCATGACAGCAGATTGCAAGGAAAACCACATAGAAGCCACGGAGACGTAGGCAATTTGAGTGGACTTAATCAAAGCCCAAGGATTTGTTGTGGCATGGAGAATGCCTTAGATCATGTAGTTATAACATGTTATGTGAGGGGAAGGTGACTCGTTTGCATGGGGTTTTGGACTCATAAAAGACTTTCAGCAAGTTCGGCGTGGCATTTCTGGGGTTTGCTTCTGCATTTGAGGAGTTGCAGAAGCCTCGAAGATACGTGGTGCGGACTCAGCGGGGCTTCTTGAACGTCCACGCTGATCCAGATGACCCGTAACTTGCTTGCTAAGAGTTTGATCGTTAAAGGAGTGGGAACCGCAGCTGTTTATTCATACTATTTTTTTGAGATACCAGGGGTATGAGAAGCATCATTTCCTTAGAAAGGTTAAGACTGCTTTTTTCCACCAATTGTCACCCTCTTTTCATCAACAAATGCCGCACTGGACAAGAAGAGAACAAGAATGAGGCAAGGTTGGTGTAGACCTGATAGCCCGATAGGTCCAGGGAACAACACGTTTGAGTTCAGTCTGGCAGGCACCTGTCACTTCTCAACTTGGGAACATGGTCCCAAATGACCGACGAACCCTCGACCAACTCGTTGCCTTCGAACCGGCATCGACGTTACAGGGCCAAACATATTTGTTGCAATTATACTAGTAGATACTAGTAGCAAAATTAGCTAGTAATGGCGATGCACTTGTTACTAGTAGCGATGCGCTTTGTTACTAGTAGCTTCCGTTGATCATACAGACTTTGCTTACCTTCGCAACTTCCACCTTGGAGAGAGCGTTGGAGACTCACGGGTGGCACGATTCAGGTACCGCAGTGACAATGTCGTTGGCCGTCTTTGGGAGGGTGAGATTGTCACTGGCCTTGAAGACCGTGGCGACTGGCAACTGAGCAGTGAGAAGGGTATTTGGGGAGGCCATACCAGTGGAATGCATTGCATGCATCCCAAGGATGAGGGTTGTGTTTCACGCCCGGTCCGTTCATGTATGGTGTATGTTTGTAAAGAAGCTGCTGTAAGTACCTGCAGTTCTACGGTGTGTAGCATGCAGCCTATAGAGAACTTGTGTGTCTACTGGTTTACCACGTTTGATTCAAGAAGCAACCACTAAGCTGAAGTTGCGTTTGTTTATTGAATGATAGAATCTAGATTAGACTGGAGCTCACTCAATGTTTGCGAAGGCATATGACGCTGCGAACCCCCCAGCGTAGGCAACCCAGCAGTGCATAGGCACCTTACCTGTAAACAACCTGACAGCCCCCGCGTTAATGCTTTTGGATGGCACCAACCGCCAAGGCTCCGGCACGATCATGGAGGTTGGTCTATTCGTTTCCACGGAGGATTTGAATGGTTACGGCCCTTGGACGAGTGACCGACGGTCGCTGCCCGGATGTATGTGACGAACGATCGACCCCAAGGAAAAACGACCGGCCTCGGTGGATGCCTTCGACATGCGACATGCTTCGACCTTCCAGTTCGACCGGCCTCGGTGACCTCGGGCTGCACGCGGATCGTGAAGAACCTGGAGACCTTTTGGTGCCGGATGATGTGTGTTTGTACGTGCCAGTGTGTCGGGTCTCACGGCGCGGAGGTGCAGGTTTCGCAGGGCCATGCAGGGCCGGGGCGACAGCTGAGCTGATCACATCGAAGCGAAAGAATGAGCTCACTACGTCTCGACAGGTTTGGGGGGAGACGCTTGATCACAGTTTCCATTGGATAGGAGACACGCCTGCAACCAGGAATTCCCTGATGAGTGGCTTGACATAAATCACAGCAAAAAACACCAGTGTTTGTGCCAAGAGGGACAGGCCTTATGATCCAGAACCATCACAAAGGCTAGCGCAAGCATTACAATTGTTCCCCACCCAACTTGATTGAGGTCCACCATTGATTCCGTCCATCACCTGGATGCCGTTGTAAACAGAATATATTACTGTATCATTAATATCTCAGCTGCTCGCCAGGCCAATTGTGGCAGGCCTGGAGCACCTCCAAAATGCCGCCATTCCATCACCCAGTATATAGTACCAGCAACAAATAAGCACAGAAAACTATTATGGTATTCATTCGACACCTTTGTCATAATTTATGTGTTTCATGCTCCAATGAAATCAAGTTCTCGGATGTTGATGCCTCTTTCATCCTCTCTCCCAAATCAGTCCACCCTCATCATCACTTCCAACGGTGGGGGGCCGTCCAACGCACCGGCAGCTTCACCGGCGGGCTTCCGTGGAAGAACCCCCGTAGTCGGTGGCTTCGGTGCAGGATCCCCGGCCACTTCAGGCTGCACAGGAGCCACTGCTGGCCCAAGCGTCTGGGAGCCAAGGGGTGGAAGGCTCAAAGATAGGCTCAAGCAGGAGGGGTGTTTGCTCAGAAAGGAAGTGAGAGATGATACATATCGCCAAAGGAAGGTATACTGTAAGCATTCTCACTGTGCGCTGAAGGTGCACACTTGATTGAAGCATCGACCCGCGAGAGAGGTGAAAAGGGGTAATTCCTACTTTCGTTTAAACAAAACATATTCAGCAGAGGGAGTGCGTGCAGGTCTCTCCGTAAAAATATTGACCGAGAAACTTCAAGCGGCCTTTGTTGGCGATCTGCACCTACAGCATGCAGCATGTCATATTCATTTCCCTTGCCATTTGAGGGGGCCTTTCTTCGAGCTTCAGAACATTGACCTGCAAGTGGAGGCCAACGCCACAGCCGATGTTCTTCAACCAGAGCTAAGAATTGAATACTCTTGGATCTCTTGGGCAGGTCTTCTGCTGGGTTGTTTTCTCTTCTTCCCTGAGTGTATATATAGTATAGACAGAGGTTCACTATCGCTGCAAAAGAGCTTTTGTTAGGAAAGAGATCCACGGCGCCAGGCGGGGTCCACCACGGCCATCATCAGCCAAGAGGCACCATCCGATTGAGTTGGTCACACAGGAGTGCTGGTGGCTGTCCATCCATAGTTTTCAAGGGATTGATATATATATATATATACTTTTTATACAGTTATATATATATATAGTTATATAATATATATAGTTATATGTATATATATATAGTTATATATATATATATGATGATATATGCTATGTAGTGCGCGGGTTCCCCACAGCTTTGACATTTTTTCGGACAGATGTTGCTGTTGCTTGGAGGAACGAATTGTCGAAGGCCAAGGGATGCCGGGATGCCGTCCCTAGTTTTAACACCTCAGAGGAAGAGCGGCCGATAGCCATCGATTTTCGTTGATGGGATAATCCATGAGCGTCAGGGTCAGGGGAAGTCCTCCTTGCTGATGGCAATCTTGGGCATCTTGGACCTGAGAAGATTGGGATGTGGGCGGAAGTCGAGGAATAATGCCCTTTTTGCACCTATGGGGCTTTGCATGGTTGCAAACCAAGGGAGCTGATATAAAAGAGACACCGATGCAAGTGTTTGAGGCCAGGATGCCAGCTTCTCACCTTGCGCGTAGTGTCATACGAAGACTCTAAGCAAGCACTCCGATGCTTTGCACCTGCTTCGGAGGGAAGAATCAATTCGGGAATTCTGGTGATACAGGTCAGTTGGTAGAGGTATGGCCACACTAGTGTGACAGTATTTTATCTCAGGCCATCTACAGACACAGACCTATTTAGCTTGGCCTATGGTGTCTCATCTAAAAGTCTCACAATGCCTTTGGGTGGCGAACTCCAGTAGCTGACCCGCACAGTCTGAAGCAGATGAAGAGGGAGAGAGATGGATAGAGGCGACTTCGAAGTCACGTTCGGGTGGTTCACCGGCGATGGACGTCGCGCGTCGCACCCCGAGGCGAAATGTCGATGAAGGCGGGGCAAGTTCTCGTTGTCGTAGCGGTGTCGATGAAAGCAGATGGTGCGAGTGCCCAACCAAGCAGATTGAAAGAGAGCTCATATAAGTGGCTGAAACCCACTCACAGCCTTTGACAATTGCGCAACACGCTTAACGGGTGTTGTGAAGTCCAGAGATCAGTGTGATTTGGTCATGTTTAGTCAATGAAGTTCAATCTTGAGATATTCTGAGAACCAAGCTGCTTGGATAGCTCCAGGAACCTGGAAGTACACAGCTACTCGTAACTCAGTCAACTCAAACTGTTGGGGTTCCGCAAAACAAGCAACATAATGAAGCAAGTTTCCACTCAGTGCATTTCAATCCTCACCTTTAACCGGCTTTCAATTCTGATAAATCTGGACACTCAACTACCGTATGCAAAGCTTGGTGGTTTCACGGCATACCTATCCCTGCATAGTTAGTTGGCATTTGGTTTTGACTGGGGCAGCCCAGTCAAAACGGGCAAAATTCAGCAGGAGGAATTCAAGAGATTCTGGGCAATGTACAGAAACATGTTGTATCATGTTGTATCAAACATAATCAGTTGTACAATTGTATACTAGTACAAGTTGTACTGCATCCACATCAAGGCCCCTTTGGGTCTTCGGCGACCTGTATCGAAAATCGAAAGCTTCCCTCCACAGTCTGGGCACTTCAGCGGCTCGAGCGCGCCGATTGGCGGCCAAGCACCAGTGCCTGGGACCAGCGAAGCAGGGCGAAGGAGGGCGAATAGCGATGCTACCAGTAACAAGGGCATAGTTACTAGTAACAAGAAGCTACTAGTATCTTCTAGCTACTAATAGCGATGCCCTTGTTACTAGAAGCGATGCCCTTGTAGCGATGCACTTGTTCATAAAATGGGCCGGGTGCCACCACATGCCCATGGTAAAAGTGCAAACCTGAGTAGGAAACATTATATAGGACACCCGGATGTTGGAAGTACACCCTTCAACCTGAAATGCGATTCTAAAACCGCACCTGCCACCTGGTGCTTTGGCAGTTCGACTTCAATGATCAATGTGTTGGTTTCCTGTCTTCTGAGGTTGTGCCGGAGACTGCCATCAGCGCCCGGCACATTTTGCTTGAGGCTTTGCGGCTTCGCCATGCCGGGCAATCCATTTCAGATGCCTTACTCTTTTCAATGAATATATATTATATAGTTGAGTAGTTTCACATAGTCAGTAATGGCATTGTGCCAAGTTGATATATATATATAATCCCAGCAAACATCCCCTTAAAGCCTTTATATAGTTATATAGTGACTTTTTGCCATGTCTTGAACCTGCCACGTCTGGGAGGGTAGCCTTTCTAAGCGATCGCAGGCCTGCACCATTGGAGGCCGCAGTGTTGCCTTGGCACCACAGGAGCAATGAATGGCAAGCAGTAGATGGAGCAAGAATGCTCCATCTTCCATACCAGAAAGAACTGCGATCACACTGTTCATGTTATCTCGCGATTGAGCAACTGGCTGAAGACTCAATCATTGCGAGTCAAGTCAAGGTTGCGTTGAAATGGAAGAACTTCTGCCTGGGCAGAACCGCTGGTGTCATCCGATTAGTCTGACCCCCCAGACCAGGAGCCGTGGCTCTTTGCCGGTAGTGTGCGTTGGCCCCCGAGGGAAGTGGGAGGATGGAGTGGGGTGCGAAGAGATGGCTGATGTAACTGGTGAGTGGATGTAGCTGATTGAAGGCTGACATGTGCATTCTGGTAGAAGCCAGGGCTCTCTTGATTTCTGAGCTATTTGTGCTCTTAGGACTCACTGACCATGGCTGAAAGGAACTTCGAATCTTGCCTAGTAGCGTCCTTGCTCCTAGTAGAATGCCCTTGTTCCTAGTAGCTTCTTGTTACTAGTAGTAATGCCACGAGCTACTAGTAGCGTCCTTGCTCCTGGTCTAAGTCCTTCACCCCTCTTGGACAAAGTTGATATTGATATTGTTTGGCTTCTGAGGCTCCAATGTGTTGTTTGGCTTGGAGATGCACCAAGCCATCTACGATGGGGTCCTGGAGGCAACGGTAAGACAAAGCATTGCAGTGGGGGGATATATGAAACATGGTGCATGTTTCTTCCACAAGTGCGATGGACCATATGAATTGTATCCACATGGATGTCGACCCTTATTTTTTGGAGAATTCAATCTAGATTCCCAATTCGGACAACCGATGTCCAGCCCACTGCCACACAGGATCAATCATGTGAGTTGTTGTCAACTGCCACAGGCCTGTGCACTAAGACTAGACCTACAGACGATGCCTTGCGGAGACATGCCAGGGAGCTCGGAGAATTTTGTCAACCACCCAGGTTTGGGTGCTTGTTTTCTTCACAAGTAAATGGTGAAATACATTTGAGTCACACAGCCCTGGCCGGATGAATTCCAAGGACTGAAATTGCAGCAGGCGCGCACGAGTTCTGGACTTATAGAAACTAGCAGGTTTAACCAAGCTACCCGTTCGCCATGTTCTAAACCAAAGCATCTAGAAAATGCGCTGCTGATTGCTACGGTTTGGGAAGCTACGTACTTGTAGCCCAAGGTGTAGTCCCTAAACGATTGATGCATGAAGTCATTGGAGACGAGGACAGTTTCTGAGGAGCGAGTCCTTGTGTTTTTGATCTCATCCACTCACCCACATACTGAATTATACGTAATTACTTTGGCTGTGATGGTTGTCCAAAGTTGTGCCTCGCCAGGCGGCTCCACGATCTCTGGCGGACAACGTGCACGAGTGGGCCACAGCCCCAGCCACCCCAGCCGCCGCTAGGGAAGAGCTTTGGGGTGTCGGTCTTTGGTTTCACCTTGGCGTTCTGGAGATTGGATTCAAGCTGTGAGACTCCAAAACCACAGGAGCCTGGCCGCTTGGCTTTGCATGGCTAACCCATCGTCCATCGAAAGCATCCTCTGCCTGAGGCCTCGCTCGGGCGGTCTATCGTGCAGCCTTGGAACAAGAAGCCAGGCACTGGTGCATGGCTCATTCCCTTTGTGATCAGCATTGCTCAGCAAGTGGTATCTTGCATGTAAAGGTTGATGCCGACAGGCGTGTGCCTTTGGTCGTTTTGGACGATCCCTTCTGCGCCCTGGACAAGGAGGTGGCCACACAGGCTTGGGATGTCCTGGGTCTGATGACATGCTGCTATATGTCGCGTTCGTTCGAAGACATAAACTTGGGGTTTGGACTCGGCGCAGGTGGTTGTCATTTATGCTGAAAGCAGCTAAACAGGGCGTGCATGATTGCTTCGCGTAAAAAGCGGGGATAGAAAGAAACCGCTGACTAGAGCCAACTCCCACGCAACATGCTTATTTGAACGTTCTTCCATGCTCTGCAAGAAGCATAAGACATATATAAATAGAAATAAGGTTGACCCTTCGGTTTCGATGTTCCATGATTTACGAGAGCCCATGAGCTAGTCGGTACTACCCAGTGGCTTCGCCTTCGTTTCGGTGCCAGGTTTGCCAGGCGGTGCTCTCACCGAGTGAAGGGCTCCTGAGGTGCGGGATCCCCACGGTTTTTCGCAGGATCGATTTCAGCCATGTTTGAAGGCCACAGAAAGAAGCTCTTGAAGCTGCTGAGCCAATTGTGTGATTAAACCAATTATATATATATATATCCAATAGAATAGAACTTGAAACCTTTGTCCTTTAGAGGAGCTGCACATGAAATTGGCCCTGGGCAGCCCCAGGCGCACAATACCTCAGTTGAATAAAAGGTAGGGGTAAGGCCAGGCGGTTTCCCTTATTTTTGGCTCAAGGCTTGTTTGTAGTTACATTTGTGCGCACACAATCAATCTCGTGTCACAATGGCAATCATGCGCACGCATCTATGCTTCAGTACTTGGTCCCTACAACTGCTGCTGACATTGGCAAGTCCTGCATTCCGTGCTGAGCAGTACCCAGGCTATGAAGTACGACAGGTGTTGCAAGAAGCAGGAGACTTTGTTAGAGCGGCTCAAGAAGCGTTGGGGAGACGAACAGAAGCTTTGCAGTCGCCAGATGAGCCTTCACGTCCAAGCGTGCCGCACCGCTTCTCTTCGAACATTACATTCATGTCCGGCGATCTAGGATTCCCCTCGCAAGGCTCTGGCTTGTTTGCGCAGGATGCTGACCAGAAGGCAATGAGAGTAGAAACAATGCGACCTTTTGACTTGGTCGAAGGGTGGGTGACCAATATGACCACGTTGACTTTGGCCAACGCGTCATATGATGTCACAGGTGGCAGTCTTCCAGTATGCCGTCAGCTGGCCATGTTGAGGGTGCAAAGATTCTCCGATCTCTTCTCTTGGGCAGCCAATCCGCTTCTTTCAGAATATGGAGGGCAACATCAGGTGGACGGGAGGCAGTGCTCCTTGTGGCATCTTCATGCCCAGAACCAATCCATGACTTTATGTGCAAGTGGTGACTTTCCGGTTGAGCTGAACATGAGCATTTTCTTGAAGAGCAGCACAGGTGGCAGGAAATTCAACACCACCTATCGCTTTGGTCCATTGAATCTGGGGAGCGAGGTGCCGCAATTTCTCTTCAGCAAGCCTTCCATATGTGGAAGCCTGGCTCCTGCTTGTGAGAATGGCCGTGGTCTTGAACCCGTTCAGATGGACGCTTATGTTTTCCACCCCGGTTTGTCCGCTGCTGACTACAACCTTGAGGATCAAAATGTGGCAGACCTTGCGGGAGATGCTCTCTTCATTTGTATGGATCGCTTGCGAAGCCAGACGACCTCTTTCATCGATCACAACTACAGCTTGATCTCACGCTACACTCTTCAAGTGTCTCCGGCCTTTGGGCAGTATGGTTTGTGTAACGGCTACCCAGACACTCAACCTCCAGGCCCTTTTTGTGCTGGTGGAGATCCGCGCTTGGTGGGAAAAGAAAGGCCTGGTTTTGTGGGCGATGGTGAGGGCAGGTGTGCAGCGACAAGTCCTATCGGCTTTTGGCTGGGGCTACCCAAGGCTGGTCATTGCCCACCTGGCCAATCACCAACGAAGGATGCTTGGGTTGGTGGCTGCACGTGGTCTGTCCAGAAGCGTATTAAAACAATTCAGCAGACTTGCCTGCTGAAAGACCATGACTATTTGAAGTTTTGCAAGGCTGACTTTGTTGAGAAGAGAGGCTTCCCAAGGAGCATGGCTGCCCTTGAGGCTGCGTTTGCTTCTGAGGATCCCTCCAAGGGTGGGTGCAAGGATGTGGGTGGACCTCATGACCAGAGTGAGTCCACCTTTATCGTTTGAATGGCCCACTGATGAGCCACTATGATCGGGCCACATGTGCTATGGAGAGCAGGACCGGCCCTCGCTCCTGCAACTCGATGCACAGCTTATGATCCTTCAAAGTGAACGGCTTCCTGTCATTCTGCTTGGGAAGTGACAATGTGGAAGACAGACGCAGCAGCTGGCTGGGGCACTCTTTTGTGTCAATAACGCTTGGAATCAAGCTTTGACGTGGCAAGTTCAGTACAGTATTTGCTCCAGCATGTCCAGGTGGCACTAAATGCATGTGAAGGCAATATCCAGACCCTTGCAGTCTACATTTTTAGGGTTACAATCGTTGATTTGTCGTTCAGATCACTACTTAACTACTCATGCCTTGATATGTCCTCTTCAAAGAGGACTCATGGCGAGATTCTCTTACAAACACAAATTACTTGTGGGGTGGCTTCATGTCATGTGCGAGCAGGAGCAAAGCCATTTCTGTTTGGACAATGTTGAATATATGCAGTGTGACGAAGGGTGTGGTACACCAAGACCTAGCATCAGCACTTGTCAACTGTACTGACACCACATAACGAACCTTCGGCTCTTTTGGTGGACGCAAATCCAGCGGCGCCTTGCGTCGCGGTTCGACCGGTGAGGCACAGCACGGTGCTGGTGGCAGCCGCAGCTCTCAGAATTCGATGCCCAGAGACCGCCGGGATCATCCCTTTAGCATGGTCATTTCAGACTGAGAATCATGGAATCCAAGCCTCAGAGGAGTATTAGAGGTCAATGATCAATTTGTTTTCGTACCCATGTCCTCTTTTCCTGTACATCACTTCAAGTACAAAGCCTTTTACTGGTAATTGGAATCTTGGCTGTACCTTGCGTACCACACGAAGTAAACCAAAGGTCAAGGACAACTCCTAGTCTAGTGAAACAGGTTTGCAAGATTTTGAAAGCACTCTCCAAGATGGGCTCAAGCAACACTGCACAGACTGTGACCCTGCAAGGCTCTTGACAGATGAGCCTGAGCAAAACATATACTAATCATACATATATATATATATAATATCCCGCCGGGTTCCCTTGAGAGCGAGTCATTTCAAGCATTGCCCTTCTTCATTTGCCTTCTTCTGCCCACTGTTGGTAGAGCTTCTGTCTACGTTCACTGACATCTTTACATGAAGTCCACAGCCACCACTGGTACACATAGCAGCACAGTAGACCATTTGCTTCTTCTTTGTACCCAAGCAGTGATTGGCTTCGGTACCCACCGCTTGACATCAGCCCACCTTTGATCCAGCTTTCACTGCATAGCGTCAAGTGAGTTTACAACTTTACACGAACGTCAACACCGTAGCATCCACTTTGTTTGCAACTTCAAAAGAACTTCAACACCACCCCTCCCCGCCCCACGTGGCCAGCGTAGCGTCGTAAACTTCTGAAGGAAACCAGAAAAGTGCTGCAAATACCGCAATACCAAATTCTGTCCGAAAGCAGCCGTTTATCAAGCCTGTGCCCACTACACTCACCCTTGAAACATTGACCACAAGTGAAACGGAAGGGTGAACATGAACATGTCCATATTGTAAAATAGAATGTTTTAGTTGTTCCAAAACCACAGGAGTTCGCGAACAAACACATTTTGCTGACTAAAAACATGTATATAATTCTTATGATTCGTCTCATGTTTCAATTAAACACCAGACAGTTTTTTGAAAGACATCTTAATGTGCGCAACAGGACACCCGAACCCCCCCTTGAGATACATCTGAAGATCTGCGTGATGATAAGAGATCATGAGTGTGATGAGGACTTGTCCGTGCCGCGCTAAATGTCCTGAAATGACATCGCAACACCGCATGATTTTTTGAGATGAATTGAGATTATGCATGTCGTACCACTGTCCTACCTAGACCTAAACCCGTCTGGATATACAAATATATATATATATATAAATAAATAACTATATATATATATATATTGTGATTGACACAAAGGTAGCAACAAAAGATCCTCCTTCCCTCGCACAGCCGCGTGCGTTTTCCACTCACA